AAAAAATATTATTAGATGGAAGAATTAAGAGCAACTATATTAATATTAACTTATATTAAAAAGCCCTTTATTGAGAACCAATAGCCATATTCTTCTCTAATGTATGTCACTACTCCGTTTTGCAATAAAGATTAATGCAGTGAAGAAACATTTTAGTTTACGATCCCATTTATTGATTCTTGATTGTACTTCTTGCACTTTAGGAGTCTTGTTGAGGAAGTCAGTTCCTAAGCTGACAAGACAGAGAATTGAGCCTACTTTTTCTTCTAGTAAATGCAGGGTTTCTGGTTTAGTACCTAGGTCCTTGATCCATTTTGAGTTGTATATTGGGAAGGGTGAGAGATAGGGGTTCAATTTCATTCTTCTACATATGGATTTCCAGTTTTCCCAGCATCATTTGTTAAAGAGGCTATCTTTTCTCCAATGTATATTTATGGTGCCTTTGTCTAGGATGAGGCAACTGTATTTACGTGGGTGTGTCTTCTATTCTGTTCTCTTGGTCTTCTTTCTTTTTTTTTTTTTCCCAATCCCATGCCAGGTTTGTTACTATAGCTCTGATAAGAACTCAAAATATACCAAAAAACCCACAAAAAAACAAAAAACAAAAACAAAAAACAACAACCCCCCCCAAATAACCAAAATACACCAAGAAAACAAAATACACCAAAACAAACAAACAAAAACAAATGGGCAAAGGAACTGACCAGGCACTTCACGGAAGAAGAAATACAAATGGTCAAAAAATATATAAAAACAATTGTCCAACATCTCTAGCAATTAGAGAAATGCAAATTAAAACTACACTGAAATTCCATCTCACTCCAGTCAGAATGGAAATTATAAAGAATACAAGTAACAATAAATGTTGGTGAGGATGTGAGGAGAAAGCTACTCTCAGAATACATTGCTGGTAGGACTGCAAAATGGTGCAACCACTATGGAAAGCAGTATGGAGATTCCTTACAAAAGTTGGAATGGAACCACCATTTGACCCAGTTATCCCTCACTGCTTGGTCTATACTCAAAGGACTTAACATCAGCATACTACAGTGATGCAACCACATCAATGTTTATAGCAGCTCAATTCACAATAGTTAAGCTAAGCTATGGAACCAACC